TCTGGGACCATGCCCTGCTCTGCTTTTTTAAACTTTCATTTTTTTAGACCCCGGGGGGTCTAATTTTCTTCCTGCACTGCAAACTTGCAGCGCGGGAAACATTTTCTCATTCCTGTATGTGCCTGTTGCCCCACCTGAAAGGGGTTTGAGGTGGGGCAAGAGGCATGTGCATGCTCATCTGGACTTGCCCCTAGGGTACATCCAGATGAGTGCACATGTATGGTTTGTGTGATAAAGAAAAGAGAAAAAAAAGGTGACCAAACGCCAAGCATGAGCAAGTTGTGCTCATGGCGTGGGGGAAGTAGTGGGTGCGGCCTGATAGCCACGAGATCGGCGGTCCCGGGCTGATTGGCAGGGGGCGGGCGGATGCAGCCCGTTTAAAAGGAAAAGCGCATGCACCAAAAAGCTGGGACCCACGCCATATCGGAGAGGCCTGATCACCCTCACCGGAGGTCCTGCGTCCACGAAATCCCTTCCCCCCGGACGCCCCCATCACAACCAAATTAGAGCTCTCGAGTTAACAGCAAGTTTATTCTTGAAACTGCTGTAAAGGAAACCACCTATACTAAAGTGTGAGTAAAGCATTTATTTGTTATACCGCCTCCTTGATGTTTTCTGTCGATGGAGGGAGAGACAGGAGAAGGAGGAACAAGACTCCCGTAACCCTTTCGTCCCCGGCCTGTTCGCGTAATACTTTTCTGGGTCCAACCACCCACCATCAGGTTGGTCAGTTTGCAGCACTGCAAATCTGTTTGTGGCACTAGAAACTACACATGGCAAATGTGCAACTGTGTGCTATGCTGTAAATTTGCAGCATGGTTCCAAGATTTGATATCAAATTTCTTTTTGGTATCAAAAAAAGAAAATACTGCAAAAAGTGGTGCAGCGCATGTGGTGTGCACTGCCAGAAACAGTGTGGCCATCCAGAACCACACTCTGGCTACTGGCCAGGCTCCAGGAAGCCCCCAGAGCCCTGGGTAAGGCTTTTGTGGCCAGCACAAGTGCTGGCCCAGCCTCCCATACCCCACCCAGGACAATTTGGAATGCACTGAAGCACCTGTACAGGGGCATACCCTGTGGCACAAAGCAGTGGCACAAATACATGCCACTGCTATTTGTGCTGCAGCAAATGCATGCCTCTGCATGTGGGAATGCACCCCCAGACTCTATCCCTGCTCTTTGAGTGTGTGTGTGGTGGGGGGGAGGAAGTTGGGTTGGGATGCTGGAGGTCTGCAAATTGCTTGTTTTATCTCTGTGGAGCAGACTGAAGTTACCCTAACATGCACTAAGTAGCACAGTCCAGAGTTAACACTTTGAGATGCTTACAAGCCACCTAGCATGAATGAACAAGGTTTAATGTGTAGACATTAACGCCATGTCCACATGTATTATGGACATTTGCTTCCCCAGGGACAAGTAGCAGAGGTGCAACTTGCACTGCTGTTACTTGTCCCAAGGGAACACCTGTGTCACATGTGCTTTGACACACATCAAATGACCCGGGGGGGGGGAGGAGGCTGAGGCAGCACTGGTCTTGCCCCAACGGCCTTACCTAGGGCTCTGGGGGCCTCCCTGGTCTGCAGCAGCAGTGATTCTGCTCTGTGGAGCCTAACTAGCAGCCACAGCATGGCTCTGGGTGGCCCAGCTCCACTTTTGATCATCATACACTGCCCTTGCATGAGCTGCTCCATGTTTTTTCCCCATGGGCTTTTTTTGACCCCTGGATATTCAGGGGTCAAAAATCCACAGAAAAAAAAGTGAAGCAGTGCACGCTTGGGCAGCACTACTTTGCAGTGTGGAGAACATCTGAATTGAAGATATGTGGCACCACAGGCATATTTGTAGCACCACATACCGCACGGTCGTGCTTGCCTGGACACAGACTAAGTGTCCTTATTATGGTCTAAATGTAAAGCATAAGTTCACCTTTAGGTGTGTAAACCTGAGTCACAAGATAAATCTAACAATTTCAAATATGAATCCATAGTATTAAAACATTCTGACCTGTTGTGCTCTGAGTTTTTTGCAATTTTGAAAAAAATGCTGTCTTACTTTTTCCATAGTCAAAAAATGAGTCTAAACTAAGAGCTGGCATTTTCTGAAGGGTGCCTTCAGATTACCAGGGCTGGTTTGAGGCTGGAAAGTTTGAGAATCACTCATCTAGACCATACACTATACATAGGAAAGATACCAAACTTGTTTTAAGATGGAGCTTGATACGCTTATGAATTGGATTGTGTACTGTGATTACTTGCAAGGGACTGGACTTGACGAATCTCATGTCCCAGTAGTGTTAATACACATGAATAAGCAGAAAAATACAGGAGTTTCCATAAAAAAAGCTTGTCTCCAAACATTTATCTGAACAAAGCCCGCTCTCACAAATTCATACAGGTAAGCAAACATAAAAGAGTGTGAATATGAACAGATTGATATGTGGGTACGAATTTGCAAAAATGTTTGTGATGTTTTTATGCTGTTCAACTAACACTAGCTATTATTTAGTTTATCCCTGTGTTTCTATTTATATTTTGTGAAATGACAAGAAATTTGTCACTTTTGTTGGAAAAGGAGTTTCTGAACTCAATTTACTACTTAATTTACAGATAGTATAAATACCATACTAAAGAATGTGAAGCAAATTACACAATCACAGCTCACAAAAAAAACCTAGGGTCCAGCTGTTTCAATGTCTGTGAATGTCAAAGAGCCATCCAGATGCACAGAGAATTGTGATAATGAAAGAAATAGAACATTAATCTGATGTATGCTTTCCTATGGGCAACATTACAAAGAACACCAACTGTGTTGCCATATAAATAAATAAAAGACAGTTTGTTTGTAAGATTATGATCACAGTGATTATTTTGGAAGTTCAGGATTTGATTGAGCCAGGCACTGAAATTGGTGCAATAATATCCAATGGACATACTGGGCATTTATACATGTGCTCTGGGAGAGGGTGGGGAGGGGTTGGAGGGGATTTAATTAGAGCAGACCCACAAGCCTTTTCTTTTCATAATTTAAAAATAAATTATAAGAAAATATGTATTACACTTACTTTGTTCTATCCTAGAAGTAGCCCTGTATGCACATTTCCCTCAAATCCAGGTGCATATTGTAATTAGGAACAATGATCAGAGCTTTTTTTATGCTCCACATCAGTACTAGATCTTCATCAGGCAAACTAATGACCCATCCATTGGACTGAATTCATCTAATTCCAGTCTAACAGCCACTGACTATCCCAGCATGGTATAATGGTATGGCTTTCAAACTGTCTATCCAGTGCTTTAAATCCCTCAATTTAGCTCTGTAGATACTATTTCAGGCCAAATAGATTTTAAATTGTACTCCTTCCAGGAAAGAAGGTAACCCATGTAAGTTTAAAAAAGATGAAGGCAATGGTGGGTAACTCTTGCACCTGTAATCCAGGTACACCGAGGGTGTGCCCTCCCAGCCAAATGGAGAGGAAGTGGTGAAAGGCTAGGGTGCTGAGGGTGGGACATCACCACCCTACCTGCGGATCCCTGTTTCCCTATAGAGACAACCCATGAGTGTACACTTAACTATATACAGTTTTATCATTATAAACATAATTAAAACATTTACATGCCAGAAATAATTGAATATTTGATATTACAAAATAACTATATAATCTTCAAGTCAAGAAATGAATTACCCAACCCAGTGAATCCAATAATATTCACCCCAGTAGATAAAACCCAGTACTTAAAAATATGTACACAACTGACCGAAAGATTTCTTTGAGATCTCAAACCCATCAACATCATGGTTAACAGCACTAAAATAATAAAAATATTATTTATAAAATATAAAGTGCAACAAACTCAGAACCTCAACCACATAGGAGTCTAAATATGAATTTGTTCCCCAAGCCTGGAAAACAGGGGTTCCCTCACCCACTCCCAATAGGGTTTCAGGACCCACCCACTGGGAGGGGTCTTTCACCCAGCTCTAGTGAGGCCACTCCTAATACCTCCTTTTCAGGGCCCCAGTGATCCAATAACTCACGGCCCTTCTGAAGACTTGGCTTGTCCCAGCATGACGCTCCCTGCCGGGGTCTCTTCTCCCATGCTGCCTCTGGACTCCCCTTGTGGTCTGGTGCCCCTGGCCTGGACACCCAATGCTTCAGTCCTTATGGCTCTCTGAAGATTTGCTTGTACCATCTATGCCCCACTTTGAGCACTGAGAGCTAGGTGCTTCACCCAGTGGGGTTACTGAGCTCCAAACTGCCCACCTCACACTGAGATGGCCTTCCCCATTCTCAGTGCCCTGCTCAGCACTGGGACTCTTTCAGCTTGACAGGGCCCTGTGCGGGGCTCTGGCCTTTCGATATGAAACTGGGTGGCTAACCCAAGCAGCCTTTTGCTGCTCACCACTCCTGGATCTTGACCAGTTCCTGTGCACAGTGGTTGCCAGCCACTTGCTGGGGTCTGCAAGCTCAAGCTGCCTTGCTGTGCTCCTAGGGCCTGGACTCCATGCATCAGGCTATGCACTGTGATGAGCCCGAGGGTCTCACACCCTCCCAGGGATCTTCAGGAACTCAGGGCTCTTCTCCACTGGGGCAGCTCATCCCCAGCTTTTCTCACTCCAATCCTTCTTCAGCTTCCCCATCACATATCCTCACATGCTGGGCATGATCCTCCTTTTATACAGTTCAGGGGCTCCACCCCCAAAGTTCTCCAGACCTGGCAGGGTGCAATCTCAAACCAGGTCTGGACTGCTCCTTGCCCCCCTCCTTCTCCCTTTAGGGAATGGGTGTGGCCTTGCTTACCCTGGCTTGCTTCTGATTGGTGGATGGGCTTCACCAATTGGAATTGCAGAATCTCATGCCCAGAACTTTTTTGGAGCTCAAAAAGTAAGTCTGCTACACACCATTTTTTGCTCAAGGGCCCTGTGGTTAGGTCACTTGACTAGGGAGTGTTAAACTCAGATCTTTGTTCAGAACAAGGTGGTGAGAACACTTCAGGGCATCTTCTACCACCACTCAGAAGCGACATAGATCTCAGCGGGGTGGTGGCAGCACCTTGGAGTATCCTATGTTCTGGATTTGGGGTACATAGTGCAGAAGCAGGGTTTAATTTTTCAGTAGTGGTCTTCAGAGTGATATGGGGTCAAGGTAAACATATCCTGAAAAAAAAAAATCAACTGACAATGTCACTGGCAAGACAAAGGAATGAAAGGTTAAATTCAGGCTTGAAGTTGGTGAGCAGAAGAACTTCCATTAATCAGAATTTAGCTCATCTAACTGAGTTTGTCAAAAGTGTACATACAAAGATTTTGCCTTTCAGGTTTAAGAATTTTCTACTGAGGATCTTATCTAACCCTTCTTCAAGAGATTAATAAATTTCCCACACAAGACAGAAAGAGATTGATTAAAGACAGGATATGAAAGATTTGTAAACAAAACTTTAAAAACAAAAAAATCAGCACAGCAGATAAAGAGAAAATGTCTTGCTCCTTGTCATTAGAAGCAAGAATGACTAATCAAATAATCATATGCTCTTACAAACATTGCTGAATACATAATACAACTTAACACACAGGTCTCCTGCAATCAAATATTATAAATATTAAAATAAATGGTGTCCTACAAATCAGTCAGTGAATAAATAATGTACTTGGTACCTTACATGACTCATCTGACAAAAGAACTATGAGACATAGATGTTTGGTATTAAATATGCTAAAAAGTTAGGATTCTTGAAAAGGTTATTTTAAGTTTATAATCATTTCAATGTTCAATTAATGTGTGATAAAAGACTATGATTAGAGAAGCTTTCAGATTAACTAATAAGTATTTCACATATAGTTGATATTTTTCAGGACATGGGAATGGGCTAACGAATAGCTTGAATATAGAACAATATCTCAGATCAATTATCGGGGGCGGGGGAGGGGGGAGATGCTAAACCTGAAAGGATCTAATCCTGCAAGGTTCTGCATTTTGTTAGCCTCCAGTGAAGTTATGGAGATGACAGCAGATAGTATGTTAGAGGAGAAGGTGCAAAAAAAGATTATACTGTTTGTATTCTTCAGACTTTTCTAGGCTGGGAGGGGAGCTTTGTTAGGTTTCATAAAATTCCTTTTAATACGTGTACCTCATTTGGTGTTAAAACAACTAAAGACATGTTTATCCTTTCAAAGACCTACAAGGAAATTTATGCTGTGTGCAAAATCGTGTGGAAATACCCACTATAATATATCAAGAGTAATACATTATTTATATACCATTTTAATTCAGACTACACTGATTTTATGCTGCAATCCACTGGCAAAAAAGAGAAAAAATATCACAGTTTAACAATGCATGATGAACCTTTAAATGGGAAGATTCTTGCATTTCATAATTTCCAGAGTTAACACTGCAAGTACTATGGTTATCATTTAAAAAAAAAATCCTTTTGTTCTGAGGTACAGGTTTCCCTCACCAACCATGGTTTTGCCAACCACGGTTTTGAGTATCCACGCTTAATAGTCTATATACCATTTTGGCTACCAGGGTATACAGTTTTAAGCAACCACGGTTTTCCATGACTGCGCATCAGCCCGCCATCTGCCATTTTCCCCATAAGCCTTTTGTCTTGCCAACCATGGTTTTGCCAACTGTGGGAATATTCAGGAACCTAACCCCAGTGGTTGGTGAGGGAAACTTGTATATCCTTTGATTCACTGATATCCTGCAACCTCCTGTATAATTAAAAAGGCTCTAAAAAGAACAAAATCTGTCATATAGAGAACTATAACATGTTGTATACACATTTAACATATTTATCTAAACAAATTCCATATTAGGCTATACTCTCTTCAAATCACATCCAAATGTTCCCCAAGAAGAAAAAAATTGAACCCCCAAAGCAAAAAAGTAGGGTTTTTCCATATTAGGTATCAAAACATGACATACTTTATATTGACCAATTTGAAAATGTCTAGAGTACACACAAATATGTAAAACAATGTATAGTACAGGCTAAAACACAGGCAGCATGGAGTGCAGATATATATCTGTATTTGTTCCCTACCATTAGCTGAAATGAGCAGAGTTCTCAGCTTCTACAGCATCATACCTTGCCTAAGAGCCAGAAGCATTTATTCATCAGTCCCAAAGTCTCACCACCTTTGCAAATCAGAATGGCTTTGTACATGCCCACCTTTGCCTTGATGCCAGCTAAAGACTGGAGAAGGGTCAAATCCCTGTAGTGATACAATGAGAGAGGAAATGGAATAAATGCATATATTTAATGTTCCTTAAAAATGTTTAATTCAGTTTGAGCATACAAATACTTTTATGCATAAATCATAAGTGCATCATTATTGCATGGTGTCACTACCGGGTGCAATGAAGCTTGCTTTTCTGAATTAATTGTGTATTTCAGCAAGTTAATATGCTTGGATTCTTTTAAAATCAATATTAATTCTGATTCTTTTGGGTGTATGATTCTTGTTTTGGGGGATAATTGGAACATACCTGTAATATAGAAAGCAGGGCAGCATAGCACCTTGGAGGCTAGCCTTACCACACCTTACCATTTGAGGAAGCAGGCTATTGCCTATAGTAAATGCTTATGTCTCTCTGAAATGGTAGCCTTTAAGGCAGGGAATCTTAACTTTTTTTGTGTTCGAGGCACTCATCATTGGACTTGATTCACCCTCCATAACTTTTGTGAATTGAGTAGTACCCAATTTCAAAATCTAAATTTTTATATTACAATGTTTACCTCCTTACAGGGGAGCTGGGCAGTGGGCAAGGGGAATCACCCATGTAGGGGCAAACCTGAGCCTATATTTCTCTGTTTAATTTATCCCCTCACATTTTGTGGCACTGTTCAAAGGATCTGGTGGCATTTCAGTGCCCTGACACCCTGGCTAAGAATCACTGCTTTAAGGTGCTATCCTGCTATGCTTTCTGCCTGACTTCAGACTAACATGGTTTCACTACCTCTCTCTCTCTCTGTAATACATTTTTTTAACCTTTTACTTGATATTTACTCTCAACCTTAACTCTCTCACAGCATCATTTTCATCTGAGAATGAATGTGCATACACCTCTGCATGAGTACACCTAAAGACCATGGGAGAGAAAAAGAGACACACTACTTGAATGGTACTATGGGTAGTAGGTAGTTGTGAACTGTGACGGGGCCAGTCACAATGTCGGCCCATCCACCTGCCTAGGGCAATCTGCCTACCTAACTCGACTGCCATGCATTTGGTGTCACTAAAGAGAAGTTGTTTCCAGGTGGAAGGCTGCCCATTTAATGTCTTGATGCCAGGGGCATAATACACAGCTCTGACCTCCCCTTTATTGTATCCTATGCCTTGCAGATGGCATCCAAAAGATCACTTTCAACTCCCCCAGCCCCATTGTTGGGCTGCACGCAGCCTCTGGCCCAAACTTGGCCTCAGACATTTTTGGACATACTTTGGCTTGGCTTCTGGCTCAACTTGGCCTCAGGTATCCTTAGATGTGCCTGGCTCACATGCCACCTGTTTGGGGCCTCCACTCCTATACATGCTTCAGGCTCCTTGCCTCTCATCAGCCTCCTAGGCCCTCACACTCTGCCCCCTCCCTGGGGTAACTACTCTGCCCCCTCACTGCGGCTTCTGGGCTTTATGCCCCTTGGGGCTCAGGTGTCTGTCAATCTGCCTGGACCCCACTCTTTGCCTACAGCCCACTCAGGCCTCAGGTGTCCATTGACATACCTGGACCTCACTCCTACTCAGGCTTTCCATTAGGCTTCACTATCATTTAGGCCTTGGGCCCTCCTGGCCCCCGTGTTATCACCCAAGCCTGGTGCTTTTCTTTCAGGGTGTGCTCCCCTAGCCTTTGCTCTCCATAGGGTCACCCACAAGACAGTGGGGGCCAAAGCTTTCCAGTGCCCCATACTCACCTTTCACTAGGGAGGCACTGGTATTGCATTTCATGGGGACTGCCCCACCACAGGCAGCCCCACCACACCATCCAACCCCAGCAGGGTATATTTTTAGGTCATTCCCCAAAACCAGTGCAGCCTACCTGTCCTTATCCTTCTTTGTCCCTCTGGGCTCTTTGAGGTTCTTCCAGGGCTGTACTCTCTCCTGGGAACTCTATTCCAGCCCCCCCCATCACCTCACCCTGAGTCTTTGGACCCATCCCACTCGGGCTTCTTATAGGCTACCTCCCAACAAGAGGCTGGGCTTCAGCCTCCATCATTCCAGCATGCTGGCCTGCTGACCACCTATCCTGTCTTGGCAGTAATGTCTTCCCCATCGAGGAGTCCTTCAGCCTCTAGGCCTCAGGGTGCCAGTAGCTCTCTGCAGCTGGTCTCCCCCTCATGATGGGATTACTTGTCTTTTGGCCTGTTAGCCCTGGCCTCCTTGCTTTGACCAGTAGATAGTCTTTGGCCTCAGTCTAGCAGGGACTAGACTTCCTATATAACAGGGATCCACCCCCTGGCCCCATCTTACAGCAGTTGTCTCTCACACTGGGCTTGCTTGGTGCTCCACCAATCTTATATCAAGCAGCCTTTCACTCCACTGGGCTCCTCTGAGCCCCTACCCTCACCACCAGTGGTAATCAGGGGCTTGCCAAGCTCCTCCGTAGGCCCACACGCTCTAAGCCCCATCCTAGGCTGGCCTATGCCTTCTCTAGGCCTACATGTACATGGCCTCTCCACAGCTCCTCAGCCCCTACAGCCACTTCCTTGGGACTTGGTATCCTGCTGGGTCCGTAGGAACCTCCTCCTTCCCCGTAGCTCCTATTCTGACCCCTGGAATGTTCCTGGGAGCAGCAGATCTCAAGCTGGGTGATGTTAACCCAGCAGCATCTCTGCAGCAACTGCTGGCCCTGCTTCACAGGGCCTGCTCTTATACTGAGGCTGCTTAGCCCTGCTCTAGTCAGCCAGCCTCCTGGCTGTCATGTGACCAACTGATTAACAGTGCTGTCACCTGCAGGCTGCCTCAAAGCCTGCTCAAGTCTTTAAAGTGGCAAGCACCCAAAGGTGCTCTGCTACACACCTTCCCCCTTAAAATGTGTCCAAGGGAGGGGGTGTCCCTCTGCTGCTCCCACCTGCAGGCTCTCCTGTAGCCTGTACAAGCCCTTAAAGTGGCAGGCACCCAAAAGTGCTCTGCCACATGAGCAAACACAGAAAACACATGCGGTGTTGTAAGTGGCTTAAGCAAAGCCATTATTCTATCTGGTTAAAGCATCTTTAGCCAGATGGGTTTTAGGTTAGTGTAGCAACCTAAGTAAAAACACCAAACTGCCGGGAGGCTTTTCATTGACCTTAAAGGTTTGGGATCAAAAAATGGCAGCATAGTTTAAACAGATCATTCAAGAAGGTCTTCAAACAACATTGATTTGAAAAGTGGAAAACTAAAAATATGAGTAAAGGACAAATAGCTTTCTAAAAATCAAAAAAAAAATGTGCATTCTGAAGAAACTGCAACTTTGGTTGGCCAAATCTAAGAATTGGGTTGGCCATGTATAAAACAGTAATTCTTTCATGCACATTCATACACACGCATTTATATTCAATCACCCTGAGATCTGCTGGAAGGACAATACAGCAGTGCACATAGGTAATCCACAAAGTTTTTGGAGAATGTTGGGGACAACTTCCTGCTACAAGCAGTGGAGCAGCCAGTTAGGGGCTGTGCCCTTCTGACCTGCTGCTTGTCATTACCCAATGATTGTGTGTGCTTCGGCACTGCAGAATTATTTCCCGCCACATGGAACTTTCTTTGCACGGTGCAATTCTCAGCTGCAGAGAGAAAACCCCAGTGCAAAGGAGTTCCCACCGCTCGCATGCAAATTTGTGTCCCACTATTGGCTGTTTCTAAATTATTCCCACGTGGCGGCTAGCGATTGGCTTGCTAGCCGTATAAGAGGCTTGAGCAGTTTCCGCCCAAGTCGGAGATCTCCGAGAATCTCAGGAGGATCCTGAGAACCCCGATTCCAAGAATTCCGGGAGAAATCTGTGAGAATTCTGGCAAGGAGTCCACAATTACCTCGTGGATTTCTACGTAAATCTCGGACCGAATGGTGGTTTGATCACCCATCAAGAGTCTCTCCCCGTCACCGGATGATCCTTGATGTACCCCTGCCCTGCGCGCTCGTTGAGAGTTACAGCACAGACTCTCGTATCGTTTATAGAGCTCTCATCGTTCGAGTTTTTCCTCTTTTCTTCTGTCTACAACTGTAACCAAGCAAGTTTTCCTGCCTGCACCGCGACCATCTACGTTGTAAGTAAATTAATCTTTAATCAACCTCCACATGTCAGTGCCTAATTCTAGTTCGCCGTGCCGACTTCCCCGGCCCACGTGCCCGGGCTGCTGGCCACAGCCCCTCGGCCTCGACACTGCTCACAAATGGGGAAGAATTGGTGGGAAAAGCAGAAGTGGGTGGCAACTTCAGCAGCAGTAACCATGAGATGATTGAGTTCAGGATCCTGAGGAAAGAAAGGATATAGAGCTGCAGAGTAAGGATCCCAGACTTCAGAAAAACAGACTTTGACTTGCTAAGGAAACTCATGGGCAAGATCCCCTGGGAAGCCAGTCTGAGGGGGAGAGGAGTCCAGGAGAGCTGGCTGTACTTTAAAGAAAATTTACTGGCTTCAGCTGAGAGTTTGTAAATGACATTTGTTCATATACTAGAGAACATGAAAGTCAGTGCAATGTTTTGTTCAACAAAGGCATAGAGCCAGAATTGACCAAAGTAATGGGTATGTGAGATATAGTAAGGGTAGGATATAGTTCACTCTTTTTAAAAACTGGATCACTTCATCTCTGCATACCCAAAATGTGCCTTTATCTCTGTCCTGCTATACCACTCCCATTTCCATCTATTTCTGCATTTTTTTAGCTCATACTTATCAGCCTGCCTTCCATTAAATTGTCTTCAACCTCCTAATATATGAAGTAGTGATCCAGATGGTCCAATTAAACACAAAGTTTTCAGGTAGGGAAGGCAATTAGTAATATGAAGCCCAATTCTCCTCTCCTTCACACTGATGGAAATCAAAATTTGCGAATGGAAAACAGACCCTCCCCACCTTCTCCCTAGACTTTGGTTAATGTCCTGGTACAATTAACTAGGAATTAAACTGTCATACTGATTAATAAATTGGATTTGTATAGGTGGTGTGTGAGCTACCAGAAAGAAAAAGATCCTATTTCCTTGCATAGGGCTAAGAACATCAGAATCTCAGAATTAT